AGTGGAAATAGAGCTCGGGCGTCTGAGACATGTTTATGGCTGTCTAGTGTTTTGTTTTTACCGAAGAATGTGTGGAGCGATTCTTACCAACTGGGCCAACAAATTAAAAATGAGAAGTTTGTGACCTTTCATAATATACTCATCAATTATTGCTAGTGTGTATGCCCATTTTTAGTTTTTAGTAAGAATGAATATTAGGCTGTGAGTTATTTGTTTTGTAACTTTTGTAGCATTTTCCCCCTCTAATATTACCAATTTTTTTTTAATTTATAATAAAAAATATCCCCTTATTATTATTATAATTAGTAGTAGTAGACCTTGTTAATAATCATAAAAAATATGTATAATTGTTGTTATTGTTATTTTATTAATTATATTTTTTTATTTTTTTAATAATTATTATTATGTGAATAATATACTACTAATAGTATTATTATTTACAATAATAATATGTATTATAAATAATATTATTATGAATAGAATTAATAATGTTAGTAGTATATTATTCACAATTCACATAATAATAAATAACTATTATTATTATTATTATGTGAATAATATACTACTAACATTTATTAATTCTATTCATTATAATATTATTTACAATAATAATAAGTATTATTGTTATTTATTATTATATGAATCTACTACTACTAATATTATTTTATATTCATAATATTTGTATTATATTATTATTATTATTAATAGATTAATAATACTTATAATATAGGACGGTCAAACGATTAATCGCGATTAATCGCATCCAAAATAAAAGTTTGTGTTTACATAATATATAGGGGTGCACTGTGTATAATTATTTTGTATATATATAAATACACACACATGCATGTATATTTAAAAAAGTATAGTAAAAATAAAGTATTTATATTTATATATAATATAAATTATATATAAATCTATATACAGTATATACATGAAAATATTTCTTAAATATATACAAGCATGGGTGTGTATTTATATGTATATAAAATAATTATACACAGTGCCCCCTATATATTATGTAAACACAAACTTTTATTTTGGATGCGATTAATCGCGTTTGACAGCCCTATAATAATCAACAAAAAAATGTATCTAACTAATAACTGTTGACTGTATAAATGACCAATATCTGCTTTGAATGAATCTCATCCAATTTATTGTTTTTAGGAAGTTATGTAATGGTGTTTTATTGAATTGTTTGTGTAGATGAAAACTATGGCTGGCACTCTATCAGTCCATACTTATTCATTCATATCAGCTTGATGAATATCAAATAGCTTGGCATTCTGACTGCAATGAAACGTCCGTGAACTCGACGACCGAACTTGACTTGGGACTTGAGGGTTGCTTTATGTCACAGGCTCTCACAGATCATATGTGGACCCACACAGGGACTACAACACAAAATGCAAGCCATCTGTTATCCAACTGAGCGACGCTCTGCCTTTTTATTGCCTATTTTATGGCAAAACTGGGGTGTCCAGTTGCAATCAGTTTTGATTACACATCCAAATTGTCTGAGATTTGCAAATCCGCCCGGTAGCTTTTACGGCGTCGATTGGCACCCAGTCTGCCGCACCGCTAAATCACACGGCCCAAAGCGACCCAGACGGCACTGGACGCATTGAATTTGCTGCCATTTTAAGTAACAATATCCCCTGAATGTCACTTCCTCAGGGCCTGCGGGAGGAGGGGCGAGGAGAAGAGTGGCGAGACGGAGAAAAGCCAAAGAGCGATAAGAAGAAGAAAAAAAAAAACGTGCTCTCCTCGACTCCCAAACGCCTCACCTTCAAAATGTTCCTGGCAATTTTTCCCTGACACACACATGCACACGACACGTCTGGCCTTTCTCAGGCGAACTCCCCTCGAACCCAGCGTGCCCGTGTTCCTGTCATACGTGTGACGGTTCTACAGCGTGCAGGCATGACACGCCAGACCACCAGAGCCCTACAGCACATTAGAAAATCAATCCCTCCCGTGTCGGCGTGCTTCCAAAGGGCCCGTACAGAGCGGACCGCTGCCGGCCTGCTGAGTTCAGGCTTTTAAATGTCATTGGTTGATCTTGGAAACATGCACAGAGATGCACGCACCCATCAGCGCTTTCACTGAACGGAGAGGATATCTTCACTGCTTCATTTAAAGGGATAGTTCTCTTTGAAATTCATTTTTGGGATGTTTTAGCTTACCTATCGGTCATATAATGGAGGTCTATGGTCACCACCTCAAAGATCATGCATAGAGAAGTCCAAATTAAACATGACTCATAAATGTAAGTACACATTGATGGCCTAAGACACGAAACGAGCAGTTTGTGTGAGAAAACGAACAGTATTTATATCATTTTTTACCTCTTGTAACCACTTGGATCACTTGGACGTGGCTGTGGTTACAAGAGGTAAAAACGATATAAATACTGTTCGTTTTCTCACACAAACCGCTCGTTTTGTGTCTTAGGCCATCAATGTGTACTTGCATTTATGAGTCATTAAATCATGTTTAATTTGGACTTCTCTGTGCATGCTCTTTGAGGTGGTGACCATAGACCTCCATTATATGGCTGACAGACAAGAACGGTTTGACCTAAAAATATCAAAATTGAAACTACTGCGAAAACAAAGACACCTACATCTTGGATGCCCTTGAGGTAAGCTAAAACATACCAAAAATTAATTTCAAGGTGAACTATCCCTTTAAGTGACTCATTACCCATCAGTTCAGGGCGCAGCAAGAAACCCTGTGTTTTTGTCGAGGAGAAAACAGCAGATTTATAGAAATGCAAATATTTGTTTTGAGTGAAATGATTCCTTTTAGCAGATTACTCTGAGATGGTTATGTGAAGATCTGTGTCTTCTAACTATAGCGGTTTCTGTCGTGTTTAGATATTCCGGGTGACGTCTCGGTCTCGGGTAATGTCAGTTCAGCTATGCTCTGTTTACCTGACTTCTGAAACCTCGGAGTTCGGCGCAGACATTAAAATGCTTTTAACGCTGAGGGGGAAAAAAAGCGGCAGACGCTCCTTTCGTGAAATGACAAGCAAACAATATCGCCTAGCAACAGAGGCTGCGCTGAGCCACCGTCATGTTTGGATTCAAGCGAGACATTTATAGCTGGAGGCCAGTTTGTCTGAGATGATAGGTTACTGTTCTTTATCATTTTGTAAAAGGTTTGGGTCATGTTATGAGAAATATTTCAGAAAATAAAAGCTTGACACTTTTGCTCCTACTCAAATAGCTGTGCAAAAAAAGTATTTTAAAGGAGAAATATTATACTCTAGCATTGTAGCATTTTATTATTTCCAATAATCAAATAAATATGTATTTGTTTTTTATTTATTTACAAATTGTGACTATTATTGAATTGCATCACTATTTCCCAGACTCCAACTTCATTTCTAAAATTCACAATTAATTTATTCATTTGTTTGTTTGGAATTATTAGTCATTTGTTTTTTTTATTTGTTTTTTTTTTACAAAACTTTAGTTCAGCATATTCAAAAAATATGTTTGTTTTTGTATGTTTGTTTGTATATTTGTTTGTTGGAATTAAATCATTAGTAAGATTTGCTTTTAAATTAAGTGTTTCATGACTGTTAATGACAAAACTATTAATTTATTTATTTACAAATTAGTATTATTATTATTATTATTATTATTGTAACTTAGTATTGCATCACCATTTCCCAGCCTCCAACATTGTTATTTCTAATATTCACGGGGAAAAAAAAGTATATATATATATATATATATATATATAATTTATTTATTTATAATTATAGTAAGTTTAATTTCTTTTTAATTTAGGATTGCATGACCATTTTCCTGCTTCAAACTTTATTATTTCTAATATTCACATTAATATATGAATTTATGTATTATTTTTGTTGGTAGGTTGGTTGGTCAGATTTAAATCATTTGTACTTTTTTATAATTATTAAGTATTGTATGACCATTTTCCAGATTCCAACATTTTTTGCTATGATACCTTTAAAACATACATAAATGTAATGCTGAATAGGCAATGAAATGTGAATCAAATGCTAAATATATATCATACAGTCATAAAAGACTGTGTTTGTTGATGATGTCTGACGTGGGCTTTACCCGATAGGTAAATTGTCATATCATATTTGTGTTATTTCAAAATGCAGTAAAAAAAAACTGTTGTCCGAGACACAGAATGGCCCTTTGAAGGGAGTTGTAGTGGCTTGTAAGTTGCCTTTGAATCATATTGTGTTGACGTTGCTTTTTTGCGCGCAATTCTTTAGTCTGAAGTATAAAACCCTTCCAAAATGAAAGAATCCAAGTCTGATGGCTCTTTCTCTCGCCCTCTCTTTCTCTCTCCTTCTGTTTGAAGAGCCATTTTGCTCCACATAAAGCGCTCTAACAAGCAATTCAGGCCAGGTCTGTTTCTTCAGCTCCAGTCTAGCCTGTGTAATCAATCACAGTGTAACCATCTATTCCTGAAGACCTGCTGAAGCAAATGATATGCAGTAGCAGTCTCAGTGCCCAGTTAACGGTCCAGAAAGGGGTTAGTCAGAGTCTGAAAGTAAAAACGAAAATCGCATTACATTACATGCTGCGCTAATGAGGTAGATTAACCTGAATGATTTTATCTTTCATTTACTTGCTTAAACAAAGCGTAAAAAAGAAGAATTGGACTATCTGGTGTCATGTAGCAATTGCATTTGCATGTATCTCAGGAAGATCAAGATAAACAATGAGCGAAAAGGCCTAATTAGCATACATTCTTATGTAATCTAAAGCTTTTACAAATGATTTATGTAAACAAATGGGTTTTTTTGAGAAAAGTGGTTGAATTTTGTGACGATTTATGCAAGAGCAGTTGATCCATTGTGTGTATTTTATAATTTCTGTAATCCTAACTAAAGCACATGCTGATTTCATGCTATCATGACGTGTGGGTGTGATTCTGTGCACAAGAATGAAAAATCATTTAAAGTGTTCAGGTCGATAAAATGCCTAAATCTCTTTCCACAGACGTGCTTGGAGTTGGAGCGCTATCTGCAGACAGAACCCAAACGACTGTCTGACCTTTTCGACGAAGAACTGGATGGCCTCCTCACCCCCACCTTCATGAAGGAAGACGGTGATGAAGACCTGTTAGACCCCCTCCTTCCTAGCCTTAACAACCCGCCTAGTCCTCCTCCTCCTCACCTCACTCCACGCAAAGAAACCATCTCCTCCCTTTCCTCTCCTGTGACCTCCCCAGACATCACCTTAGGGGTCAACGCAGCCCAGCTGAACGCTGTAACCTCCCTAACGCCTCCCTCATCCCCAGAACTGGGCCGTCACTTAGTCAAACCCACCCACACACTTAGTGCCTCGCCCGACGGGACTCTCACGCTCAAGCTAGTGGCCCGAAAGGTGGGCTTGAGCTCTGCCAAGCTCGTGACGGCTCACCCGGTGCCGCTTTCTCCCCAGCACGGCAGCAGTGGCGCGCAGAGCGATGGCGAACAGGGTGGCACCTTCACCGTGGGAGCTGGCGAGATGGCAGAGAACAAGAAGAGGGTCCATCGCTGCCAGTTTAACGGGTGTCGGAAAGTCTACACCAAGAGTTCACATCTGAAGGCACATCAGAGGACACATACAGGTAAGCGTGTACATATAAGTAGGATCTATTTGCAGTGATTATTCTGTTTTCTATTTTCTCGTTTTTGCAGTGACTCTTTATACTGAAGTTGGTGACGAGTGGTTGTCTTTGAACAGTCAGTGAATCATTCACTCAACTGACTCGTTCAAAAACACTGATTCATTCATGAATGATACAAGTTTGTGTATATATCGAGGGTCGGCATGCAGGCACGTGTGCCAACGTTAGCAGGCGACGGGATAATCACTGTCACGGGACAATAGCTAAAAAGGTGTGTGTTTATTGTAAATGTTTCCAACTTGGCCGTATGGATGTACCTCAGTCACAGCCTGTTTTATTAAGTTAGGAGCTATAAAAACTGTAAGTGTGATATTTTAATTATTTTGATGATTTTAATTATTGTGATTATTTTAATCCAAGAGTCCATTCACCTGACCTGAGGTGCGCGCTTCTGTGATTATACCTCCCTCGTTTCCGACCACTTGTGAATATGAAAGAGTCATTGAATCATTCATTCAACCGATTTGTTCAGAAACACTGTATTTATGAGTGAGTCATTGAATCATTCGTTAACCGATTTGTGCAGAAGCACTGTATTTATAAGTGAGTCATTGAATCATTCGTTAACCGATTTGTTCAGAAGCACTGTATTTATAAGTGAGTCATTGAGTCATTTGTTAAACCGATTTTTTCAGAAACACTATATTTATGAGTGATTCATTGAATCATTCGTTAAACCGATTTGTTGAGTAACACTGTATTTATGAGCGAGTCATTGAATGGTTCATTCAACCGATTTGTTCAGAAACACTGTATTTATGAGTGAGTCATTGAATCATTCGTTAAATCAATTTGTTCAGAAACACTGTATTAATGAGTGAGTCATTGAATCATTCATTCAACCGATTTGTTCAGAAACACTGTATTAATGAGTGAGTCATTGAATCATTCATTAAACAGATTTGTTCAGAAACACTGTATTTATGAGCGAGTCATTGAATCATTCGTTAAACCGATTTCTTCAGAAACACTGTATTTATGAGCGAGTCATTGAATCATTCGTTAAACTGATTTGTTCAAAAGCACTATTTTTATGAGTGAGTCATTGAATCATTCGTTAAACCGATTTGTTGAGAAACACTGTATTAATGAGTGAGTCATTGAATCATTCATTCAACCGATTTGTTGAGAAACACTGTATTTATGAGTGATTAATTGAGTCATTCATTCAACCGATTTGTTCAGAAACACTGTATTTATGAGTGAGTGATTGAATCATTCATTAATCCGATTTGTTCAGAAACCCTGTATTTATGAGTGAGTCATTGAATCATTCATTAATCTGATTTGTTCAGAAACCCTGTATTTATGAGTGAGTCATTGAATCATTCATTAAACCGATTTGTTCAGAAACCCTGTATTTATGAGTGAGTCATTGGAATCATCATTGTTTGAACTGATTTGTTTTGAAACAGATTAATTCAGGGACAATACAAGTGACTGTATTTAAGAGTCATTAAATCATTCGTTCTAGAAATAATATATTTCTATTATAATTATGATGAATTATGTTGTATTATAATTATGGTTATGCTAAGGAGGTAGACTTAAGGGAGGGACCCAAGACACATCATTCCATAGCAACAACCACATAGCAACACCCTGGCATCATTTGTTTCATATAGTTAATTTAAATAAGTTTTACAGTCTTAAATAAACATTTAGCCTGCTCTTACAGCAGTGGAATGCTATATATTTAGATATATTCAGTCAGTTCCACCTCATTTATCATTAATTTTCATATTTTGCGCAATCAATCTTGTTTTACACAATAAGCGACAAGCTGATGTAATTAATGGTGCTTCGTCGTCGCCATGGCAGCGTGCCTGTCCAGCCCCCTCGGCTGCAAATATTTTCTCAAGGTTGCGACAGTACTTCCTCAGCAGATTCGAATGGTGCAGGAAACGGCCATAATTCTCTGTCTCTTCGATCTCAATCCAAAAGCACTCAGACTGCTGTCCCAAAGCTGTCCGCAGAGTGAATAACTGCCTCATGATGGATGGACCGGGTGGAATGAGACGTACTCGCCTGTATATTTCCTTACGTCTGCTGCGCGCCTGTTAACACACCAGGGCAAATCCCTAAGTCTTGAAACCAGAACATGCCACGTGTTAATGGCTCCCTTCTGATGTATTAGAAAGTATTTTAGACGTACACATTATGACATGAAGACTGACAGTAAAGAATGCACAAGAATACCAGGACGCCTTGTCAAGGACCAAAAAAGGGACCATAAAAGTATTTCATATGACGTGTGAAACTTTCCAAGTTTCTGAAGTCATACAGTAGCTTTAAGCAACTATTCTCTGAAAATCTTGCCCTTCACTGGGCTAGTTCAGCCAAAAATGTCTAGTGAATGAACTAGTCTTTAACTAAAATTGCATTATTCATCAGCTGTAATCTTTTTCAGCACTTTCTGCATTGCGTTTGTCCAAAAAAGACAATGAAGTGCATGAGCTGTGTTAAAATCTGATGCCAAAACAATTTGTCAACTCCTTTGCAATTAGCCAAATCCTATTTTGGAGGCGTTATTACTTGGACAATTTCAGTGATTGAGATTTGTAGAGAAACGAAGGCGGCGTGAATTGAAATGACATTGCCCTCTGGAGCGTTTTATAAAAGGCGTTTGGGAACTAGATAAGACCGGCTTTTCAGGGAGACACAGAGAGGTGAAGAGAGGAACGTGGCAGCACTCGTTTCCACTTTCTCTCTTGCTCTGCGTTCCATTACAACAAAGTCGGGAAAAAGTTGGAAGAGCATTGAAAATGCAGGCTTTGTGCTCAGTGCCAAAGTGAACTCCACAGATCATAATGAGTCTTTCTGTCTCCAGTTTAACTTGGAAAATGTAATTAAGCTAGACTCCGGCACCTGTAAGGGTGCTCAGAGAGAGAGAGGAAAGGTGGGGGTGACACACACAGATAGGGGTGGGGAGTTGCCAGGCAACTGGTGTGTCTCCGAATGGGACTCTATAATTGGGAACGATTCTCGGGTCTCGGCGCTGGTTTCAGCCTCGTCCGTGAACTTCCACTCGCACCTATATCCTCTTCTACATACATGTATCATGTAACACTCCGGTTGCCAGGCAACTGCTTGCTCCCCTGCCAGTATGAGCCGTAATTGGCTGGTGGCACAGAGGGACAGACGATGCCAGATCGAGCCGGCTCCACTGCTGCCTCCTACGTTACGCTCCTGACCGGTTGCTAGGCGACAAACTCCAGCATCCATGCCTCCCTGACTTCTAATTGGCTGGTGTTGCGGTCGTTGCGAGCGCAGGTCTAAACCTGTCCTGCTTAATGTGGCTAGCTCGTAAATGTGTGTGAGAGGGTTTTCAATTTAGTGCTCGAATTCCGATCTAAATATAACTTGTTGTTTTTACAGCTCAGAATGAAAGTGTGACCGTCATGGAGGGTTCTCGATGCAATGAAAACAAGTCGAAATGGCATTCAGAGCTGTTTTCACTTGCATAGTAGCATGTAAAACAGTTTGTTACATGAAAATTTAAGTCAATGAATGGAGTGGTGGAAAAAATATTTTTCATCCATGTGATAATTGAACAGTCAATGCCAGAATTTTAGACAATTCTCTCAAATGATCAGGTAGAGTTATTCGCTTGAATTCATAAAGGACAGCTGCTTGCAAAAAAAATTGTGACTGATTTGAAAATAAATAAATACATAGGCTTTTAAAATGTGTGTATGTATGTATATAGCTTCCATTACTAAATATAAAAAATAATATTTTGTAATTTTAATAGGGCTGTCAAACAATTAATCGCGATTAATCGCATCCAAAATAAAAGTTTGCGTTTACATAATATATGTGGGTGCACTGTGTATAATTATTTTGTATATATATAAAAACACACATGCATGTATATTTAAGAAAATAATAAAATATTGAAATATAATATAAATTATATATAAATCTATATACAGTATATACATGAAAATATTTCTTAAATATATACAAGCATGTGTGTGTATTTATATATATAAAATAATTATACACAGTGCACCCATATATATTATGTAAACACAAACTTTTATTTTGGATGTGATTAATCGCGATTAATTGTCTGACAGCCCTAAATTTTGATAATAAACGACACGTGTACACGCCAAATAAAAAAAAAACTTTTAAAATAAACAAATAGGCTTTTATAATAAATAAATAGATAAATGGGCTTTTAAATACATCAAGTAAATGTATTTAAAATGAATAAATCATTTGTAAATACATATTCATTGAAAGATGTTTGCTTTTTTTATTTCATTTCGGTTTTCTATTAAGATAGTACACTGTAAAAACGAACTTTTTGGTGTAGTAATATATATTAAATGAATCATCATAATTTTTACTTAATAAAATTAAAATTCAATGTGAACTAGAATTTTCTAAGTAAAATTTTAAATATCTACGCGTTTAATTCATGTAATAAATTAACTGGTTGGAAAGAGTAAATCTTATTATATATTTTCTTGTAATATTTAAACGTTTTATAGTCCCTTCACATAAACATAGTAATTTTAAGTAAATTTTAATAGAAAAGCATAGCGCGTTTGAATCCGCACATGCGCGTTTGGACAAGTCTAACTGCGCACTTTGGATCTGAGACGAGACGAATTGGCGGGCTGCTGCGTGGCTGCTTTCTGTCGTGTTTGAGGTAAGTTTGTCTTTCTGTTTTACATTTAATAAAACATGAGTCTGTGTGGGTTTTGATTGATGATTCTTGTTTATTTGACTCAATAAACATTAATGCTCACCTTACAACATGGCCTCATATTAGTGCAACGCGTGTGGGTTATCCATAACAGTATACTGTATCGTTAACCCCTTTTCACTTCCTAACGTTAACGTACATTATTTATATTGAATCGGAAGTTTTCAATAGTTTTATAGATTCACAAAGAACTGTTTTTCGTGTAAAAATGTCAAACTAAGTAGAAATTAGTAGACAATCTTTACCGTTTTAACTGCTAGCTAGCTAAAATTGGGCCTTAAAATTAACAATTTAATGTCAACCGCTCTTAACGTTATACTGTTGACTATGGAAAAGTTTGAATGCTCTTGCTGAATATTGCTCAGGATGGAACGTTTACACATAAAGCTATTTTTTTTTTTCTTTCAATCGCACTAAATCGTGCATAAATGAGGTCTTAAAGTAAGCAGGGCTGCGTTTCTAAAATCACCCTGTTTCTAAAAGTTGATTGTAGAAAATAGAGATCGTGAGTGGCAATCATGGGCAATATTAATATTGACAACAGTAACTGATTTAGCACATGAAAAAATAAATAAACTTGAAATGTACTAAACTCAAAGTTAAAATTGAAATGCCAAATAGTGTTTCTCTTTTGGATTTGCACATTACAAAAGAAAGTGCTGGATTGTTCACTCCACTGTTGATATCTACAGTCCTTGTATAATTAACCCTTGCTCCCTGCATCAGTCTATTTAACCAAATTTCTGCTGTTGTACTCTTGAATCATTTTGTCACATTAGATCAAGGAGGAATTCAGGAGAATCGATCATGGGGCAGAGATTCATGTTCAGACTTGACCAATGCACATCAAGACTTATTGCCCTGATGAAGGCCATGGGAGGTGTTGTGGGGACCAACTGAGGCCATTTCTGGACAAACTGAGTCAGGTGTGTTTGATCAAAAGTGTGCTTGTTCACATTTTTTTAAATAAGATATACTTAATGTATTTCTCATACATGCATGTACATTTATTGTATAGCTTTTAATACAATATAGATTGCATTAAAGTAGCTTTACTGTATTAAACAGACAAAAGTCAAAAGTTCAGAAATTTCAGTAATTAGAATTTTAGTCATAAATTACAACTTAAATTTCAAATATTAAGAATCTGTACTGAAGATGATAGAGTTTCAGCGACAGTTCTGCTTTGGCCAAAATGCAAGGCAGACAGGAACAGGAAGTAGAGTCACTTTGCTCTAAGTACTCAAATCAGTGTTCCTTGTGCATGAATGCTTTTGTGTTCTCACTTGATTTCATTGAGTTCATTGTGTATGAATAAAAGGTTGTGTAATGGTACAATATAAATCTGTTCACAGACACAAAGCCTTGAGATGGGAATCAGTTATCCGCAGCCTCATTCTCTACTTTGACGATAAAGAAGATGATAAACTGTGTTTTGAAGATGAACAGAGTTCTGACGGGCTCGGGACGACATGAGGGTGAGTCATTAATGACATCATTTTCATTTTCACAATCACGAAAAGTCGCCATGGAAATAATAAGGAGATATATTTTAAAATGAAAGTCGCACACTGGGTGGTCAGCTAGAATATTTTAAAGTTGCGTGTGAAAGGTTAAACAGAGTCAAATTTATTTCACAGAAAACTGCACTCCAGTTTATAGCACCCTAAAAAGGATAGTTCACCCAAAAATAAAAATTGTCATTGTTTACATTGTGTAAACATTGTTTACACTCAAGTTGTTCCAAACCGTTGTGAGTTTATTTCTTCTGATGAACACAAACAAAGATATTTTAAAAGAATGTTGGTAATCAAATGACGGTAGCCATTGACTTTCATAGTAGATTTCTAATGGCTACAGTCAACTGTTTGATATCCCATTTTCTTCAAAATACAATGTATGTATGATATACCGTCCTTGTCCAGAAAAGGTAATACAGACATCATCAAAGTAGTCATGCAGTGACTGCAGTGGCTCAATTTTAAGTTTATAAAGCGGCAAGAATACTTTTTGTGCGCAAACATAATGACTTTATTCCACTATTCATTTCATGAATTCATATGCATAATGAAAGCATAGGTGCACTCGAACAATCATTCATTAAAACGCATAAAACTTTAGTTTACAAAGACGTGAAACTCACCGAGTGGTCTGGGGTGTTCACTGATATGCTCACACAAAAATCGCTGTAAAAGATGCTTTCCAACAGGTTCTATCGTAGTTTTTGTCCAAGTCCATTTTCTTCCTGTTTTCGGTCGAACTAGATAACTAAGGATCGCGCACGCAAACTCGAACTAGATAACTAAGGATCGCGCACGCAAACTCGAACTAGATAACTAAGGATCGCGCACGCAAACTCGAACTAGATAACTAAGGATCGCGCACGCAAACTCGAACTAGATAACTAAGGATCGCGCACGCAAACTCGAACTAGATAACTAAGGATCGCGCACGCAAACTCGAACTAGATAACTAAGGATCGCGCACGCAAACTCGAACTAGATAACTAAGGATCGCGCACGCAAACTCGACAATTGACTACTGTGGATTTCGACCAAAAACAGGAAGAAAATGGACTTGGACAAAAACTACGATAAAACCTGTTGGAAAGCATCTTTTACAGCGATTTTTGTGTGAGCATATCAGTGAACACCCCAGACCACTCGGTGAGTTTCACGTCTTTGTAAACTAAAGTTTTATGCGTTATAATGAATGATTGTTCGAGTGCACCTATGCTTTTATTATAAAGGCGGGGGGTGCTAACACAGGATCCAAAAATTCTCGTGACCGGAGCATCTGCCTAAAAAACAATCTTAACTATTCCATTTCATCAGGGACGATCTTAAAACAGGGCTTTAATTGTAAAATACCGAACTTGTCCTTTAATGCAAGTCAAATAAAATAATTTAAGCCATTATATTTTTGTTTCTCAAAAGAATTATATTTTTTCTTCTAAATTGTATGCAGGAGGACAGCGGCAGTGACATCACTCAGCACAGCATTAAAATACTGGTCGTTCGTGGTGCTGATGGAGAAGATCCAATCGATGTATCCATCCTTTTTGAAGGGAAGGAAATGCTGGAAGCAGCAATACCGTAAAGACAGTTTTACTGAATGCACCTGTGTCAAGAGATGACTGAATGTCCATTCTTGTATGAACATTTTTGATGACTGAAAAATAAACTGTTTAATTGAGTTTTAGTTGTGTGATTTGTGAAAAATATTGAGAAAATGGTTATTTATTTATGTTCATGATTATTTATAAAAAGAAATTATCAATGTTTAAATATGTAGTAAATGAAAATCTCAACAAAAAAACTTAAATAATATCTACTTAATTTACTTCATTAAATGGTAAGATTTACTTAAAAATTTCATAAACGCAAGCTTCCTAATTTAAAAACAATAAATAAACTTTACTTAATTACTTTAAATAGATATAGCTTCTAAATGAAATGTAAATGGGTATTTTTTACTTAATTTCTTCATGAGAGTTTTGTTCAATACTAAGTAGATTTTACTTGATAATGGCACGCGAGTTGTACTTAATATTATAGCAGTAAAATTTACTTAAAATTTACTTGTGCAAATTGTTACGAGGATTTTATTAAGTAAATCTTACAAGTAGTTTTTTTCAGTGTAAGTAGAATCAATTTAGATTTAATGTTTTAGTTAATTCTGATTTAATGACTTGTTAAATTTATGAGCTCTCTTTGCATGAACATCTGACTCATTTCCTTGTCAAGCCATTGATATGAATCCACAGTCTTGTTTCAGAAGATTTGTGAATATGGCAAACAGTGGAGACAGGGCCAGCTGGTTGACAGTAAATATGAGGTTCCTCCCCATTACCCATCATTACTACTCCAATTAACACCTCTCCCAGAGATCCAAATAAACTCTGCCTGCCCCCCATTTCATACGTTCCGTTCAGCAGCGCTAATGAACAAGCTTCGAGACACCATACGATCCTCAGCGCTCCTGCAAGGCGGCTGCCATCCACAACGAAAAACACACAACATCAAAATCGGGAACGCAGTCTCTCACATCTGTTAAACGCGGCAAAGATCCCATTGGAAACTCATCGAGTGCGAGTTCATTTGCCCCGACAGCTGTGCGCCATAATGACGATCATGTATTTCATAAACTCCAATTGTGTCAACACTCTTTCGATAGGCTAATCAACTTAAAACAAATGAATTAGACGGCTGGCTGGACCGAGTCGTTGAATTCAAGGCCCCTTGAGGAAGAAAGTGCATTTTTAATCCGGTGTGTGTGCATCTGTTTGTGTGTCCGTACCAGGGGAGAAGCCGTACAAGTGCTCATGGGAAGGCTGTGAATGGCGGTTCGCGAGAAGCGACGAGTTGACGAGGCACTACCGCAAACACACCGGCGCCAAGCCTTTCAAGTGCAATCACTGCGACAGGTGAGACTTACGTTGTTAGTTGACATGTCAAGCAGCGATATTATTTTTATCATTTTTTCTATTTTGTACCTTTTCATTTTTATATTATTTTCATTTCTGCAATTTCATTATTAATACTGTCTAAAATAGACAATTTAATGGTAACCAGCACCTATATGTATATATAAATCCAATTTATTAAATAAAATAATTAAATAATTAAATAAAACAATTTTTAATTGTAATGAAATACACATAAAAATAAATACATTCAAGTATAAAATATAATTTTGTCATTTTAACAATAAAAAGAATTAGCCTCGTTTAATTCTTTCTAAGCCTAATTTAGTTTCTAGCACTTTTGAGAATCCTTGGTCAGCTTTTTTTGTACATCTAACACAGGTGTCCTGGGTATACAAATGTGATGAATAGTCTGGAATACTTTCATTTTCAAATATCTATCTAGAGATGCTCCACCTGTCACCTGTGCTGGTAGATTCAGCTTTATGATTAAAAAACATCTGCTATTCAGACAAAGGTTTCTCTATGTTCACCAGATCTCAGAAATTGAACATAGTGAGTGACAAATAGAGTTTCCCAACTACATTCTCAACATGTGAGTAACAGAAGCTACTTTAAAACGTGTAGTGTAACTGCCAAGCTACAAACACTCCTAAAATGTTTTCTATCTTTAATTATTATGTAGCATTGGGAAGTCCATTTCATCCTATTAATATATATATATATATATAGTCTGTGGAAGGCGTAGGGCCATAAAACGTTCCGAATGCAATGATGCAATATTTTACCTGCCTGTTAACATGTATTTTCATACTGTACCTCCACACACCTGCTCGCATAGACATCACACGTCATCAGTGCGTTTCATGCAGAGTTAGACAGACGTCAGTCACAGAGCACCGCAAACTTAACAGTTCCTCCTGATCCAAAACAACCATATTATGCTGCGTTCTCGCCATAACTACAGTCATTTGGAAGCGATAAAAACCCGTGACATTATACTCTGAGCTGTTCGTGACTCCAGTTTATGCATTTCAATGGCAACACTATCAACACCGAAATTAATCTGCAGCAGTCACGTGGTACACTTCAGTGCTCTTTAAGTTTGTTAATGTTCATTATTATTGTAATGTTAGTTTAACACCATCTCTCGTGATGCTTTATGCGCCATGTGTTTTGAAGGAGGTGTGGCTTTGGAGACGAAAAAGAGGGAGGGTGGGATCTAATGCTTTCAAAGCTAGCTTGCTAATGTTAGCCTTCCCGAAAATAGCCTACCCTAACTTTAAACCGGTTTATTTGAAGTAAAGAAGTTGGTTTAAACAGTCAAAGATTCATTTTATACGCAGCGTGGCTATCTATCTATCGTTCTATCTATCATTCTATCTATCTATTTTCTCTTGACTCTTCTAAAAAGTAATAAAAAAAGTAAGTATATATAAAAATTTTAAAAATCTTAAGTCGTAAATGTAGTCATGAACAGCAATATTTCAATATTTTGCTACAAAAAATGATTTGGGATATTTCATTGCAAATGCATGCTGGTACACTATAAATGTTCCAACATACTTTACATAGAAGGGACATTTAGTTCATAAAACATCAAGTGTGCATTTCCATTTGAGTACAAAGCTAAGTACGTAGTTCTGTGCTTTCTTTCAGAACATTTTCAATTTGGGTGCAGTGCCTGCGAGACATTTGCCTCCTGGTATTGACCAAGAGCTTCCACCTCTGAAGTGAATCTTAACTCGTCTTCGCTTTGATGTATAAATAGGTTCTTCATGCTTGTTAGACTTGCGTATCTCACTTTGAGCTCAGCTCCGCCCTCTCTTGTCATTCTGGCTGCTCGTACACCTCGGGGAATCCATTCTGCTGTTGTCAAGGGAGCCCCGGATTACCATTATAAAGATGGAGTTGACGGAAACAGTGGAGAGCAGCATGTGGAGGAGCTCCCCGTTTTGTCTGAACAGTAAATACAGTATAGCGAGACGCTAGACCTGTAGCCGTGGCCCTCAGGCCTCTTCTTAATCCGTCCCGACTGTGTCCGGACCCCCTGTCAGGACAGTGGGGTGGGGGTGTGAGAGGGAGAGGGTAGAGGTACACCAGCTGGTTTGGTGCCTCCTGGCAGTGGCTTGATCTGCCATCTGTCCGACCCTGCCAAAAACACACCCATTGATTTCCCAATTCGTGTTCCTCCCCTTGCTCGTTCCAGGACAGGTGAGACTTAGCATGAAAGCATATGTCTTAGGGATGGGTCAAGATGCTCCAACAATCAGCTAGTCAAGTTTATCTAGATTCACCGTTGCATATAGCAATTGCCTAACAACACTGAAATCAACTTAACAACATCCTAGAAACAACCCAAAACACCCTGGCAATTGCCTACACTGAAAAAAAAAACAAGTAAACTTTACATCTGTGTGCAAGAACTTGCAACATAATAATTAATTTCTCATATTGAATTAAAGGTGCATTGCGCAAGTCTCTGAGTTTTTGCAGAACTACACCCCCTCTGGCGACAAGCAAAACTGCAACCAGAGGTTTGCAAGCTCACGGACCACACGCACACTTGCAAGAGCTGTTCATAACCAAAGGAGAATCAGCCGCCACACAAATCTTTTGTTACAGTCATAATGTCTTCAGAGGTAATAAAGGTATTAATCAGCAAGTCCATTTAAATATATGAAAGGAAAGGCATTTGAGTAAATTACACGCTTATGGGGAAAACGGGGGTAGTAGAAAACGTCGGCTTTTGTTTCCATCGATCTTCATGTTGAACTGTTTTATGTGTTTACTGTATCCACTTATGATTGTATTATTATGGAAACACATTTATGAACAATAAAACTTTGTATAGGATCCCGTTTGAGCCCTAGAGCAGACCGGAGATCTCTCCATTTGTTGAAAGCTTCCCGATGTTTACTCTCGTCTTATTCTGACACTTGGCACTAGACAAAAGTTTATTTTCTTTGTCTTACGTGGAGTTTGCGTTGGGGTTTGGAATGAACTACAAGCCGGTCTCTTTAAATCCATCTTCTACTTTTGTGGAAAGTTGACTAAAGTTTTGTCGCTCGAGTTGTCTTCTCTGATACGGAGAATGGCGGTGAATACACAAACCTGCCAGACATAGCCAGGCGAGCGTTAACGCGCATGACGTCACATCCAGTCTCAAACTCCGTCCCAAATCCCTCTTATCTATTTTACTGTACAGATTATAGAGGCAATCGCAGTGATCAGAGAAGGGCTCATTCAGTCCATCAGGCAATTGTTTAAGCATGTATGGGTTAGAAAAACGACTATTTTTAACATGAAATGTTGTGCAATTAACCTTTAAGTAAAATCTACTTATTTAAGTGAAGTAAAATTTACAAAGAAAATAAGTAACTGTAACTTGGCCAGTTGAAGTAACTTTGCGATAATCTGTTTTAAGTACATTTCACGCAAACAATATAACACTGAATTAAGCCATGCTTTTAAGGTGCATGCTTAGAACATCTAAGTGATATATTATGTAGACAACATTTATACATATTAGAAATACTTTATATATTTGGATGCGATTAATCGCGATTAATCGTTTGACAGCCCTATAAAAAAAAAATAAAAAAACTATACTAAGGGACAAAAAAGTTCTTGCTTTTCTCCCCCATCTGTTTTATATGTGCCCGCAGATAATATTGAGATGGCGCCAATACAATCAAGCCCACATTGTGTTTCGGGCCAAATGGAATATTGATAGATCAGATTTCACGTCACACAGGTTTCTTAATAGTTTTTTTTTTTCTCCTTTAGGTGTTTCTCTCGATCCGATCACTTGGCACTGCACATGAAGAGGCACATCTGAGGAGGAGGAGGAAGAGGCGGAGGTGGCAAAATGGCGAGGTGAAGGAATAGACCGAGAGAAGGTAGAGGGAGAGAAAGAGAGGGATTATGGGCAGGAGCCGGATACCACTCAAGCCGTTCGCTCATCCCACCAGACAGAGCCCCGCCCTCCCGTGAGGGACCGATAGAGGGCCACAATCGATTGATTAGACCAGCTCTTGAGTTTTGGTCGGCGAGATGCGATTCACTTCTGAAAGTCTACAGGTCCGAGCAGTTGGTACAACAGCTTATGTCACTCAAAGAAAGAAAAGTAGGTATTTGCGAAATAATCAAAACATCAATGACTCGATTTAGTTACTACTATTATTGCGTTCCTTCGTCTCCGAGATCCATTTAATGTTTTAGTCAATGTTACTTAAAAGCATATTGTCACAAATGGACAAAAGCTACCATTGCACCTGATTTGATTTAGTGCACCGGGCGGGACGTGTCCTGAATGCCTCTCCCGGAGAACCTTTGGAGAATATCATAGTGATAGGACGTCAATCCAAAGAGATGGATTTTTTTTCTCCCATTTTGAGCAAGGATTATCTTTCTGCTTTGATCCCGCCAAGATCTAAAGTGGAACGTCCATCTGAAGAAATCTGGATTTCAAAGGTGAGAGGCGGCCAAGTGGAATCAGCCATCGCTCAAATGTGAATCTGAATCTGACTGGGGGCAGTGGAGGAAACTCTCTTACCTTCTTCATAGACAGACAAATCTCTCTCTTTCACGTCCCTTCCTGCCAACCAACAGCTGCGCAGCGACACTTTGAGACTTTTTATAAAAGAAAAAAAAATAAGGAAGAGATCTTTTTGAATGATGATGACTATGTTATATAATTCAGAAGACTTCTTTTTTTTTGCTTTTCTCCTGTGGATGTGTACAAAATATAAAATTAAAAATAAATAAAAATGGACCAAAAAAAAAAAAACTGCCATATGCACAAGAATAGTGGATTCTGCACTGGCACAGACCCCATCTGAGGTGGACTTGATTTCTATAGACAAACTTTTAGTGGCGAAAAAAGAACATCAATGTTGTTGTTGCACACGTTTTGAGCATTCCTCAACATTATTTATGACCCGTGAAACATCCCATAAACTTGGGTTCCTTTGGGATTTCTTGGACTAGCATGAAATGAGAAAAGCACCATGGTTTATCTGCGGACTTCACAACATAATAATGACTTCCATCATTCAAGGCAGAGATTTGCAATCACAAAGTTTCGGTTTTTGTAAATGCATCCCACAAAACAGTCTGGACAGACATTTCCAATCAATTATTTTAGTTTGGTCAGATAGAAGCATCATAAGAAACATGTATGTTGTGTGTTTCGCTGGTCCTGCAGGTGACATCTTCATGTTTAAACTTTGTGATGTTTTTTTCTTACATTACATATCTGTCTGCCTTGCGTTCCTGGTAAAAATGTCTGTCTGTACAGTGTGAAAAAAACGTATAGTTTAAATTACAACGTACAATCAAGTGTGGGATGGAAAGTGTTCCTGAATGTAAAGCTGTTTGATTGTGGATGGCCCTGCACTTACGCAATTGTTCAGACCACTGAAAGGCCTGATCTGCTGAAGATAGATCCCACTGTGGCTCATGCTTAAAGGCTTGTTGATGAATAGTGAAACATCTATCTCACCCTCATGTCTTTCCAAACCTGTATGACTTTCTTTCTTCAATGGAACGGAAAAGACGTTTTGAAGAATATCCATAGCACTCTTTTTTTCCTACAGTAAAAAACATGAATGGGGAGCTGTCAAGCTTAACACAAAGCACCATAAAAATTGTCAATGTGACTATATTTCAAGACTTCAATGTCTAAAACAGACTTTATTGTGTCTGCTTGTGATTTTTTAATCTTTATATAGGCTTCAAAATATATAACTTGTAAAGATTATCTTGATAGACAAAACGTGTAAGGGTCACAACAGATCTTATTTTTTGCGATTTTCCAAAAGTCTGTGGGGAAAATGCATAGCTTTTCGATCGACAGAACCCATGCGCCGCTAACTTCCGAATTGTCCTTCAAAGTGACGTCATAACTTCGGCACTCTATAGGCCCGTTCACACCAACCACGATAATTATAAAGATAACGATAAAGATAACTATATATGCGTCCACACCAGCGACTGATAACAGTCTTTTTATTCTAAGTACGCGCTGCGGTTTCAAAGTAGCGAAAATGGATGACTGCTGTTTTTGCTTTACGTTACAAACAAATATCAAAAGAAAAACAGGCGTTTTTGGGTACACGATATCCTTAAAAGACGAGAGGAGTTGGGAGCGCATCTAAACAGTGAATCTAGCAAGTCTAGTGTAATATCTAACAGTGGATTTAGCTGACGAAGTCAGTGATGGGATAAAAACATCACCTAGTCAACACTTTTATGTATACAACGCCTTTTTCACTGCAACTTCAGCAATGTTGTCAACTAGCGCTGGATAGCCTACCTGAGGTAATTTTGTAACACTATGCTAAACTACATAATATCTCATTGTGAATACTTCTCAGTTTATTCCCAGGATACGACAGAATGCTTTCCATATATCCATCTTTTTTAACGTAACGGTGGAGGATTTTTTTTTTTTTTTTTTTTTTGTTGACGATTAACTTCACTGCAATGCCATCTGCCATTTTAAATGTCCGAGACCTTTAAATTAGAATGGATTCTGATTGGTTGTCAGTGTTTTATCGTTGGACAGCTGGAAAAAAAATCGCTCTGAACGTGATCCCAACGATATCATTCCTCATATCTTTATCGTTATAGCTGTGGTGTGAACTCTGTTATTCTTTAATATGAAGAACGATTTTTAGAATTGTGTCTTTATAGTTATCTTTATAGTTATCGTGCTTGGTGTGAACGGGCTTTATGTATATGAATGTATTGGCAGTAGCAAGTATCTGTGCTTGCTGCAAGAAGTGTAGCAGATCTATTCCACCAAGACCAAATACATTAACATTGCCATATCCATTACTATACCAATCACTATTACCATACCAATCTCCCAAGAGTTGTCATGACAGAATGCATTTTTTCCATGTGCAGGGCTCCGTTACTGACTCCCTTTGGTCTTTTTTTTGTTGTTTTTTGGAGCAGCATAATTGACATTAATAATTAATATTTAACATTCTGCTAAAAGAAAGTCATACAGGTTCGGAGCCGACATGAGGTTGAGTGAATGATTTTCCACTTTTGTGCGAACTATCCCTTTTTCCCCAGTGGTGTAAACCACATTTGTATGATCAAACTCAGAGGCACAGATGTGGAGATGTATAAAATGAGCGCAACAAACCTAGATTTTATTTATTTTTAACTATTGCATACTGTATATAAACATCAAGATGCTCATATTTGGCTCATTCCAAGATTTCTAAACCCTAAACAGAATCATTGTGATTTTAGATAGAAATTTAAAAATAGAAATATCCGGTTAATTTCACTCCAAAATAAGTGATGGACAAGGATATCCATGTCTTGTTCAAGCCGTCAGTTCTTTCCTCTCACTCACTTGTCTAACACAGACCAACAGGGAGGCATGTGTGACAGAACGGCAGTATGGGTAATGAGAGAGGAATTGGGCTCTCCCAGCACTGGCTGCCCCCTCAATGGGGCGGAACGGAGTAGAACCGAACTGGGGGTCACACGCCACACTTTTGCTGACCAGGAGATCTTATCGTAGCCGTCCGACACAGTCAATTTCACCATGTAGCCGGGTGTCAGCTTACCTCCCTCCCCGGCCACATTAGCTCCATGAAAAATAACAAAGACACAAGGTCACTGGATTCCAGAGCTGAGCCGCTCGCATCCAAAGCCCTCGAGAGACCGTCGCACAGGACGGGCTTCTGACTACAATCTAGTGCAAGGCTCTTGCTTTTCAGAGAGGGTTTGAGACCACAATCTGAATGTTACGATTTATCTTCTAAATTTGTATTTCAGAAAATTCATGAGTATGGGCTATGCAAACTAGGAAGTAAATCATTGTTTCGAAACATTTTTCAAAGGGAGATTTTGGCAAGAAGGATAAATGCATATGAGAACGTGAATATCACAAAACCTGTCAAGAACATGCTTGGATCATATTTCACCTCAAAAAGTGAGACATTATCACTCCATTGTGATACATTACCAGACAAAAGTTCTGTTTTTTTTGTTTTTTTTTAAGTATCATAATTAATAATTTTAATTATTAATTTTAATTATAAAAAAAACAATGTTATATTTTAATATATTTTAAATGTAATTTATTCCTGTAATGACAAAGCTGAATTTTTAGCAGTCTTCAGTGTCACGTGACCTTCAGAAATCATTCTAAAATGAAAATAATTTAAATTGTAACAATATTTCACAATATTACGTATTTTTGTTCAAATAAATGCAGGCTGGTAAAACAAATATAGTTGGTTTAACTTAAAAAAATGAAGTAACCTGGTTGCCTTAAAAGTTTAAGTTTGAGTTAATACAACGAAGGAGATTGATTTAAGCATCAGAAACTCAAAATATTATGTTATCTGAACTACATAAATTAAGTCGATTTGACAAAACTAAAAATGTTGTGATAACAAATCATGAAAATATTTTTGTTTTACAGTATTTCTTAATCCAAACTTTTCCAGTTTATTTTCCCTAAATAATATTAGTTATTTGACATGTTGTCATGCTGATTTTAATCATTTTGTTCATGGGAAGTTGGATATAATGTGTTTAATTATCATGAAAATGTCACAATGTTAAATCACCTTAATTTGTGGGTGTAATATGACCTGGGCATTTCTTTTCAGGTTTTGTGAGGATTCACAGTGTACCATGATACCGGCTAATGGATAGAAACAGTGTTCTGTCACAAGTCTTGTGCTAAACTTCGCATTGAGCTTGTCAAGTTACTGCATTCAGTGAATCATGACATATGATGTTTACTAGTGGTGTTCCTTGTGGACTTCGGACCATTTGTTGACTTTAAGTGCACCTTTCCCTTAAAATCCTTCTTTAACACCCTCCAGCAGGACCAATTAGCGATGTTACCTTGGCAAAAACTAGCTAATGAGTTTGTCTTAATGGTCCCGAGAAGACCCGCGGAGAAGCTTGTTGTCTGCTTTTTTGGGGCTTGTTTTATGTGCACCATCTTTTCTCAAGTGTGTATAAACCTTGTATGTTACCCACTTAAGCAGCTTTTAAATCGCACACTGACCTTTTTGCTGTGGGATAATGCAATTATTTATTACCGATGCACACTTACAGGTACGTTTTTACATTCTACAATGTAAACTTTACATCCTAAAGTTCTGGCACGAGACACTACTACACATGCAGGGAACACTAAATTAGGAGTTTGAATGCATTTGATTTCATATCTCGTGAAACTATGATTAGTCTGTACATTGTTTTTGGATTGTCTGTACATTCATGTTAGCAGCTGGTCTCCATTCGCTCATTTTCTTTTTTGTACCCTTCTATTGCTCAAAACGCTGTGCTAAAAGCTTCCAAATGAATGGTATGAAGCTAATAGAGTGATTTCCGATGTTTGTTGCACTCGTAGTGTAGTTTTCCGGTTAAAGGCTTTTTTTCCACACTTCCCGCTGTAAATTAAACCCGTTCCGATCCCTCTGCTTTTTGCAGGCATTTCATGCTTTCCTATTTGCTCCTATTTTATGCTGTTTTTTATTTTTAATTTTTGTTTTATTTGCTGTAAAAAGTGTTTGCATATATTATTTGTATTATATGATGTTAGTATGACAATGTTCTTTATTAAGGAAAAAGGAAAAGAGTTTATTTTTGTTACTGGTTTGTTTCATAATTCTTTTTTAAATTGGTATTGTAATATATCTATGCAAGAACTGTTAAGTGAAGCATTTTTATTTAAGAATGTCATTATGTGTAATAAATGGTAGAATCTTAATGATACTGTCTGGGTTGTTTTTTTTTTTTTTTTTTTTTTTGGGGGGGGGGGGTGTTAATTGCGATTTCGCA